TACTTCTCATTCATCTCAAAATATCGCTGACCCACACCAACCATGTAATACTTATGATGATGATTCAGCTTCGGATTTATCAGTCAAAAGTATTAGAAGTGACAGGGAATATTTACAAGAATGAGTAAAAGAGGTAGAAACCAATCTTAAACACATCAAACCTCTCAATCTCAATACCAATCTTCCTCACAACATTCTCACCAACAATCGCCACCTCGCGATAAATATCGTTCACATCTCTCACAACCTTCTGTCAAATGAAATAGATCAGCTTCGCCCCCGCAGCAAGGGTTATGATCCATATCAAGTGATCATGATCATCAAACCTCTAATCAAAATCAAACACAAAATGATCGTCATGATCATGGTATATAAACTTTTTTTTTTTTTGATTTTTAGATGTCTGATCTTTACCTTTTTTTTTTATTTTTATTTATTATTATTTATTTTATTAAAGAGGTTCAGGTTCCCGCCACCAAATTTACGACCGACTCTTTCAGTAAAACTGACAGCTATATCTTTTAATTAAAAGTTAAGCAATGATATTTGCGACGTTAAGGAGGAACTGAAGTGCAAAAGGATAGACCAAGAAAAGGACCTTTCTCCCAAAGTATTGAATGTAAGTATTTTGTTAACACAAAACACTCTGGCTATATCGACATCTGGATACACCAGCATCTGACAATTTATATCTATATACTTAATATAAAAATGCCCTAGCTAAACCGATATCTGGATATATCAGATATTTTTTTTTATTTTTATTGAGATGTCGATATAATTAGAGTAATTTATATGTGGAATATGTATTTAAGTTATTTGTTTAATAATTTTGTAGAAAGTATATACTGGCATTGTAAAACGTTTTTTTCTTCAACACGTCTATTCAACACAAAGCATATTAAAGAAAGCCCTCAAGAATTATCTTAACAAAAATCTTTCTGAATTCATGTTGGGTATAAGCGAAAATAAGTTTACCAATAAGTTTCACGGCAGCTGGTGTAGTCAAGTGAGCAATTTTTATTTAAATAATTATAATTGTTTATTTATTAATGTTTTATACTGATATATTAATTTTTTTTTAATAGCTTTTATCAAAAATGAAAAATTATCGTGGCTCAGCGTTGCAAAATGTCCGCTCGTCTATTTGGAAGGTCTTAGGCTGGGAAAAGCTCCCCCCACTTAAAAGTAACGCAGCACCCAGTGAAATAGTAAAGTAGAAGCAAAGTCCACAAGTTAGTGAGTGCTATTGCACTCTTTTTGAAGAGAACGATGAGGGTTTTCTTTGGGTCAGTATTATTGCAGGAACCACCTTTAACATGACCACCATCCCAGACTGATGAACTATCACTGTGCCTTTACTCTGGCAGTATGTGATATTTTAGTATATCCACAGTCAAGAAGTGTTTTGTGTAAGGAGGATCAGATTATGCGTCATATTGAGTGATATTTGGTAAGTATTAGCAATCTATCATTTTATAACGAACACAATATTAATATTTATTCTTTATTATTGTATTCAAATAGAATGATTTCGAACATGATGGCCCCAGTTATGATTCTGTGAAATCGATTATGAATAATGAACTTGCAGCACTCTCCCATGATGGTGAACCAGCACCATCACATCCTAATGATGCTGAACATTCGAGACCAACCTCAGCCGAACGTGAATCTGTTTCTAGAAGATCTTCAGGTATGCTTTCACAAGAAGAACAGGATGAATTATTTGGGGCCGATTAATAACGTAGTCATGCAAATAGTTTTCTGTTTTTTTTTTATGTTTAGTTTAAAATAGTTAATATTTTAATGTATAATTCTACTTGTATTGCTTTGTGTTATATATGTAATAATAATTATTTATACAGTCAAACCTCTCTATAGTCACACCTTCGGGATACAAAAAACCGTGATTATAAAGAGGTGTGACTAATATAGAGGTATTTTTTATATAGCTATAAATAATTGGTAAAAATAAATTTGTAATTATACAAATTTTGTGACTATAGAGGAGGTGACTATAGAGGGGGTTGACTGTAATTGCTTTTAATAAATTTGATTTTGACAGCTTTTTCAATTAAATAACGATTGCTATTGAATAAGTTTCTAAATGAATACTATCGAATTTATATATATTAATTGCAATCTTATTGAATAATTATTGGTTACTATTGATATATATCAATTAATATCGAATTGGATATATATCAATTGTTATCGAATTGGATATATATTGATCATTATCAAATTGGATATATATCGATAGTCATCGAATTTTATCGTTTACTAACCAAGATGGATATATAGCGATGCTAATCACCACTGGCGATTTTTATCGAATTAGATATATATCGATTGTAATCGAATTGGATATATATCGATTGTAATCGAATTGGATATATATCGATTGTAATCGAATTGAATTTTTATCGATTGTAATCGCAATCGATAGAAATCGGCAGGGGTGATTAGCATCGCTATATATCCATCTTGGTTAGTAAACGATATATAGCGGTCTATTTTTTTTGCCGATGATAGACGAAAAAACTTTAGCAGTAGATTATTTAGAAACTATACGATGTCAAAATTTTGAATCTGTTAGGTTGGATTAAACTACTATCGATAAAAGATTAAAGCTATAGAGTTAACTTAGAGAGAGTTAATTGTATTGAATATTTTTTTTAAAAAAATTTTTTTATTAAAAATTAAATTATATAATCTTTATTTACATTTCCCGCCAAAATTTTTTTAATAAATATCAAAATTTTAATTTATTTATCGAAGCTAATAACCAATAAGTAATCTCTTAATAAAAAAATATAAAAATATATCTTTTTGTAGAGTTACTTTGACTAAAATTTATATTCTGTACCATGAATCCAGTAAAATTAATCATGATAGTAATGACTAGTAAGCCACGTCGAGATAACTGCTTGAAAACTTCCTAATGCTAAATAAATACTAATAATTAATAAAAATCTTTGAAATAAATAAATAAATAAATAGCTTTTATACTTATCGTTATATTGATACAGATAAATAAACCTAAATAAGATAATAAGTATTAGTGACCTTAAATAGCATAAAAAAATTTTTTCCAAGTAAAAAATAAAACAAAAACATCAATTTATTAAGTGATCTATGTACTGAAAAACGGGTTTTCTTGATTTTCTTCATTACATTTATAATATATCAGCCCTTCGCACATGCATTTTGGTGAAAGCTCTCCCTCTGATGCACTTAATAGATCATTTTTTGAGTTAATAAGTTGTTAACCTGAGAAGAATCAAATGAAAGTAGTTAAAAATAATTGCATATATTCAACGAAATGGTAATTTATAAGGAGAAGTACATTTTTTATATTTTTCATACCATTTGATTCGTAAAAACCTCGGCAACAGTTTTGTCTTAAGAAACATATATATTGGGTTTAAGGTTTTGGGCAAAATTTTTAAAAATGCAATTTTGTCAGTTTGTATAATTTGTGAAGATTATATGATAAAATTTTAGATGTAACAAATCGTGTGACTGTTATAGGCTAGTGCCACACACCATATCTAAATTAACTTTTTCTTTTAGCAAAACGAATACAAACACAAATAGAAAGGGTATAACAAAAATAGAAAAATACTACGGCGTCAAGTTTTGGTCCACCTAAATCAATAAAACCAAATAAAACAGATAACAAAAAAAAAGAAAAACAAAAGAAAAGAAAACAAAGATAGCATTATTAAACCTATGTGAGATTGTAAAAATTATATAGTACTACAAATAACCTAGACTAAACTCTATGCTAGTTATTTATGTCTATATCTAGGATGTAAAAATGTCAAAAACTATCCAGTCTTGAAGTAGATCGAAACTTTTAGATGCTATTCCATCCTGTCGATATGTCTTCTGCAATGTTTCAAACATTATCACGTTATCTTACACTATAACTAAAAGTGATATGTACATGTATATGTGTTTTTCCTTTTTTGATAGCAATTGTTGTTGTTGATCTTTTGACAGGGGTATGCTGTTTTTCCCACTTTTTGGTAAAATTTCGTAAAGACCAAGAGTGGGGATATGGAAGAGGGTTTCGGTTTGTAGGTAGCCTTAAACTTCAGTAAAGAATGTGTTAAAAACTCGTTTGTTGTTCTCCTTAGACCAACTATTTTTAATTTCATTAGCAGAAGCAGAGCTTCTATTAAAATTTTCTGTACAAGGGCACCACCTTCTCGCCAGTTATTTTATACAGAAACGCTTTTAACTTGCATACTGAATATACAGAGGAGTCCGGGAGAAACATGGAAATCCTTGACCTCTGTAAAAACTGTTATTTGTAGTTGTCTCTTCTACTTTTCTCCAACAAGTTTCTGTTTTCGTTAGCCGTAAGTTTGGTATAAGGGAGAGTTGTATGAATAAAATTTTTTTTGGTTTTAAAAATAATATTAAAGAAATAACATAACTCAAAATATAGGTAAATAACACACTTTTCAGCTATTATGTAAATTTGTACTCCTGTTCAGGCCACATGAAGTGATCCATACCATAACTATGAAGTATGCCATATGACTTGTATATTTAAAAGTTACTATAACTAATTAAATTAAATTTTTGTTCAAAAATTTTAGCGCTGATGGTTTAAGTGATAACCTCTAATAACTAGCATCAGTGCACAAAATTGTGGCATGACGTGTCCTGATATTTTTCCAGTGATCTTTTTATTAAACAAAATTTAGAATCTATAGCTAGAGGTAGTAATGATAGTAACAATTAGTCATAATGTAAGAATGTGTTAAAATTTTGACCAAATGAATTATCAAAAAATTGTGCCAGAATTTTTTCTTGATTTACCGAAGCTCTAGTATTATACAGTAGAATTTTGTGCTCTGACTAGCACCTATCTGTTATACAAATCTGTTTATATATTCTTCTATTTTGTAACTTATATATCTATCCCTAACTCTACTTATTGATGCTCTCCTAAAATCTGATAGTAATATCAGCCCAAAGATCTAAAACTTGAATCTGGTCCAGTACTTCTAAACATTTTGACCAATCAGAAAAGCTAGCTTATCTCAATATGGGTCTGAACTATCAGCCATATGTTTTATAGATTTAGCCAGGGCAGCCTCCCCAAAGTACCAGTGACGCAGCCACAGTATATATACAGTATTGTAATATTGAATCACGTACACACAATTGTTATCTAAAACAAGTGATTTACAATATACAACTAGAAAAGAACTAATTAGTTGCACTAATTGGTCTTATGTCACTAGCACTTTAAAGGGGCTGCCCTAGCTAACTCTGTTTTATATAGACGACGTTATTTTGATTTTGAATTTTGTTATAACGTTACTACTAAAAACATTATATATATATTGATAGATATATATAGTGTATATATTATTTTATGAATCCTTGAAATTGAATCCAATACGAATAAACAAAGTTAGTAAACAATGAATAACATATTGGATCCTATGTAGGTTCAAGTTCTAAATATTAAAATAATAAATGTTTTATCACATTTTTAAGAAAAATATTTCTGGCTCTATTCACATCCCTGTTAAGTTTCAAATTACAATGTTTACAATTGAAAACTCGAAAACCTTCCAATTTATTATTGATTATTCCACATCAAGTACAGGTTTTTGAAGTATATTCTTCAGTACAGATGATCATCCTATTATTCGAATATTCTTGAGACTTGTAAATAAGAAATTGTTAGAATCAATAATGGGACCAAGTTAATAATTTTTTTGCTGTTTTTCCATTGATCTTTCTTTTTTTCTTGTTTATTATTTTTTGGCTCTTAAATTTTGGTAAAAGGATAGTTGAATAATTGTCATAGAGATATTTTGCCAGCTTATGATGACACTTATCGATGAGATTATGAATCTTTTGAACGATTCGATACATTTTTTTTCGAAGTTTGAATCTCTTTCGTTTGTTAATTCTTCCCAAGGCCCAATCTCTATCAAATTGGTACTTATCGTATTTTACACAAAGTTGTAATATTTTATTGATATTGTTAACACCATAATAAAAAACTTGACCCAAAGGGTTATATCTTGTCATGAATATATTGTAATATTAACGAATTTTTATTAACATTTTTCTTATAATTTTTCTTAAATTTTATTATATATTTTATATGTTTATTATATATTTTATCATTTTATTAGTTTATTTACATAGTTTATAACATATTTTATCTATTTTAGACATTTTTACAATAGTTTATTACATATTTTATTAGTACACTTTTTACAGAATTCCATTTAAAGCAATATTTGCTTTAATATTTAATTATTAGTTCGTTTAACGTAACGGTGTACAAAGCAAGGCTACACAAGTAACACAAAGCACATGAGGTACCCCAGGATGCCCCAGGATCTTCTAGATGATGTATTAATAGTTATTTAATTGTATTACTAATTTTAGAAATAATAGCTTTATTAATTAATTTATAGCGTTATTTTATATCGTTATTATATAGCGTTATTAGACGGCGTTATTTCATGTCGTTATCATTTTTGTAACTATTTTTAGCTTTAGAATAGCATTATGATGACCAAAATAATAGTATATAGTATTATTGCAATGATTTGCAATGATTGATATTAGTAATTTAATGATTTACAGCATTATTTCCTAGCATTATTACATGTCATTATTATACAGCATTATCGAAAGATATATAAACCCTGCCTTTTTCCCAAGGCAGCAGGACATCAATGTATGCTTCCCAA